CACACACACACACACACACAAACACACACACGCACACACACACACACACACACACACACAGTAGACAACAAAACGACATGTTTCACCAAAATCGGACAAATAGTCCCGCCATTTTCCCCACACCCCTGGCGTTACCTGCTTGCAGAACCTCCTTGGGGGCCTGGATGATGTCAGACATGATGACATTGTCACGACCAAAACGATCTCTGGAAAGACCCAAACAAAAATAGCCTTTTAAAAGGAATTCAGAAACTGTCACCCTCCTCCCCACACTCCACTCTCCCCCACCCTCTTTAAAGAAAGCAACCCGAAACAAACCTCCCTCCCCTTTCCCCCCCTTTTAAAAAAGCCATACGTTGTTGTGACGGTGAGGTTGTGCTTGTGGTGATGACGGTGGTACTGAGCTGATATTGCTGTTGTTGATATCGGTGCTGATGTTGTTGTTGTTGGTGGTGGTGGTGGTAGCGGTGGCAGTGGCAGTATTTCTTGAGGTGGCTTTGTCTCGGGGCCAGCTTGAATACGCTGAGAGCGCGATGAACTATCACCCGTGTGTTCGTTTAGCGCGGCGAATATGGAAGGGAGGTAACTGGTACTAGTGGTTATGTACCTATGATTTTTGCTGAGTTTTCCCCCTTCCTTGCCCTCTTCGTTAATTATTTTATTAATTTTCACCTACTTTTGTGCAACTGACAAAGACAAACTCAACAGATTCAGTATACTTCAAAATCGTAAATGAAAGTCAAGCTTGCTTCAAGGTGATACAACTGCTCACTACGGATGAAAAACAACTTCAGCTCGGGTGAATCAGTTGGCTTAATGAAGTAAAACGAACAAGCTTAGTCATCATTACACTTCTCTAAATAGCAATATAAGCCGCATTGTGCATTGTCAAGGTCTAATCAGTGTTACTTCGTGCAATGCATAGTGCAATCCAGTTCCGATGAAGATTAGCGGAAATCATTATCAATGACCTCAGCAAAAGGTGGATTTACCTAATCCAGATTATCCTTAAAAAGCAGTTAAGACCCGGAGTGTTATTGTATTGTAGACGTCAGTTGGATTGTCCCACATGGCCCTGTGCCTATAGCCGATAGCTATACACATTACTATAGTCTCTGATTGCATGGGAAATGCGCAGTCTTGAAGGCCTACGCCTACTGTTTACAGTGGGGTTTGATTTGGGGGGGGGGGGAGAGAAAAAAGAAAAGTAAAAGTATTACGGCGCTCGCAACTGCATAAGGTCATATGAGCGTCAGAAGAGAGAGGAGAGAGAGAGAGAGAGAGAGAGAGAGATTCATACAACAGAAATCCACCAACATTCGTTCGTTCGTCTGTTTGAGTCAGGAGAAGCACACCAACACGATAACAACACTGTTAAAGGCAGAAACGGGGTGTGGGGAGGGAGGGCGGTTGACAAACAGAAATGATTGGGAGGGGGAGGGGAGGGGGGATTTAGGATCTACCAGTGACATTCTCCATCCATGTGTGCATGCGCACGATTGTTGTCACACTCCCTTTTTGGTTATGTTATGCTGTGACAAGGAGCGGTAGGCCTTTACCTTTGTTTACTCATAATATGCGTGTTTGCTGAACTTTTAATCATTCATTTTGTACACAGAAATATACTCACCCTCTCACTGTATACACAAACACACACACACACACACACACACACAC